GAGGACATTCTGGCATTAAAATAGCAGGGAGTCCATAAAACCACTAGCGATAATCACAAAGGACTTGTAATTCCTTTATAAAATGTTACTGCAAAATAAAAACACTTCCTATTTTGGAAAATATATGTAACGTAAGAAAAAAAGGCATCAAAATATACAAATTAATATGCCTCTTATTGGTGTCTGGTATTGAGCACAGAGATATTTTTATTGATTAGATCATTTATGGAGAGGATTTTGAGTTTTAAAAAGCTAGTATACTTGACAGAGAGAGCACTGAGTACAATATATAAAGCAAGTTGTTGCCTTTGTACAGTGACAGTTAAAAATAAAATCCCCACATATAAAACATTGTGAATCAGACACTATATATTTGGGACTAAAGTGAGAATGCTGAGCTATTGTTACTTGTGATCAGAGCCTCACTAAAACCTGGATAAAAAATAATCATTTAGTTCACTACATCTCTAAAAGATTAGACACTGTTTTCAACAACAGTAAGGAACAATATTTCAAAATCCACTTTCATTTTTTAAAATTATTGGATAGTAAAATAAAAGCCTGCCTTTAAATTTTTTAAACAATACAAGACTACTGCAAATTTAAAATGAGAAGTATCATTTGCAAACAATTGAATTATAATTGTATTACTTCCATCTGGGCTACTAAAAGCATGCTTTACTATCTTTTAATCCAAAAATGTGGGTTCTAATCTGGAGTTCATAAGGAATTTATTGATTGTAGTATGAATACATGTAAACATTAGAAAACTATCAGATAGGCTGGCACAGACTACTACATTATTGAAGAAGTTTACAGTTAGAATTAGTGTTGCTGATAGGATTTCTATTGTAGTTTTGTTAAATTATTTAAAGCTTAAAATGTAACGCTCATGCAACCAACTTCTTAATCAATGAACTACACCAACTAAGCCCCAACTGTTTTTACTCATGAAAGTAGTCCATTCCCTTACATGGTACTGCTCCCATGATTAAAAACAGCTCGCAGCATTAAGGGTTTTGAAAATTAAGTCCAAAGGGTCAAAACTGTCTAAGAAAACTCACCTGTATTTCAGAGGAAACATTAGAGATTCCAACGCTCTACAGGCATCACTGAGCCTTTGGAAACTTGCCGAGTGAAAAAGAACCTTGTTTTCTGTCAGGACCGCACAGAACAAACTCAGTACATTTTGGATTCCTTAAAAAAAGATTTAGAAATTCTGAATACCTTGGAAACACACAATAAAGAATGAAAATTAAGAAGTCAATTTAGAAAAAAAACTGTATTACAACTATGAACATGTTACTTTTGGAATACTATATGCATGCTTGTAGCATGACAAAAAGCTAGCATCTGCACAAAAATGGCAGATCTGCCACGAAAAGAAGTTTCTGTTTAAGGAGCAGACCCTTATCGCCAGGGCAGTCTGAATGTGTTCATGTCCCCATAGCAGTCTTACTTTTCTCTTATTTTTCCAGCAGTACAAAGTGCTGAGGCACTTGTAGTGTTGTAATATATGTGTCCCGTAACCCTGTGATTTCTCCCTTTTCTTTAAATTGTCAGTTTTGTTGGTTTTCTGCTTTAGAAATTTGTACATCAGTTGAATATTTTCCTGCAGTTATAATTTCTATTGCATACTTTCTTTTTCCATCCCATTTCCAAGGACCTCCTTTTCGGAATACAAACCCAACAACACTTGTGTAATACTGCAAATGGTATTATGCACAACTCTTTATTCTGAAAGTCCAATACTGGTGGCTGATCCAGGCTTAACTTCTAAACCCTTCTGCAATAACTGTGAATAAATCAGACTGGTGACCTTGGCTTATGATGTTTGCCTGCTAACACATTCATACTTTATCCATAAAGGTATATTCTTGGAATCATTAGGTTAAATGAAGTCCAGTATTGACTTTGCATATGCATGTAAATATTTAAAGGACAGCTGACTATTTAAACCACAGGTGTCAAACGTAAGACCTTTGGGCAGAGGGTGGGTCATCTGGCCTGTGGGGATTTAAATCACAGCAGCCAAGAACCAAGGAATTAACGCACCACCACTCAACCCCAGCACTATGGCTTCCAGAGTCACAGTGCCAGGGTGGCCAGCAGCCAGGGGGTGAAAGCCGCCACAGATTTTAGTGTTTGCAGTTCCTGCTGATGAGTGAAATGGGCAGCGATCACCCCCGGCTGCTGGCCATGCTGACACTGCAGCTTCAGCAGCTGTAGCTCTGGGGGGTTCAGCAGCAGCAGCAGTGTTAATGTCTTGGTTGCTGGCACTGACAGAGCAGTGCCAGATTCTCTGTGGTTCATGTCCAGCTCACAAGAGCCCAGGGTTCAAATGAGTTTGACAAGCCACGCACTGTTTAATTAAGACTAAGGACCAGATTGTAAAGCAAATTAAAAATAAGTTTTGTGAGGTAAGAGAATGAACAACAGACTACCTAGGTCTGGGCTGTTTAATATCTAAGCAGCTGGGGTCTGCATATGGCTTCTGCCATAAAATGTAAGTGTTGCAAAGGCTCCCGGGGATGCCCACATATGGCCAGTGCAGGTCATGACCTCACGGCCAGTATTAGCCACCCACACCTACCACGGGAACAGCGCAAGCTTTCCCCACCTCTCCCACCATGCGTACAGCACAAGCCCAGGCACTGCTGCATAGGCAATGGGCTCACTGGGCTCCCTCCTATCCCTCCTGCCCTGCCCCAGTAACCTCAGCTGCAGCAGAAGGAACAATGCAGGGAGAGGAGGCTGAGCAGGAGCCACTAGTTGCATATTAATACTTCATGGGCTAGATATAGCCCTGATCTCAGTTAAAGACCAATCCACTTCCAGGAAACATTAAAACACATTTTCTTTAAAACAGAGTTCTATTCTTATAATCAATCACTGGAATTTATGAAATCACTAGCGAAATGTTAGAACTTAGCAAATTTCCTGGAGGACACAGACTGTTACCAGTAAGAGGGTTGGCATTATATATTTAAGGTTTCTGCTTACCGCAAGGGTTTAGCTAACCAATTTTTATTCAACATTTAAAAAAAAAATGCATATATATTTTCTGGATTGTAACAGTACACTCTGTGTCCCTTTAAAATAAGTAGAATGGAATTCAAATCTTGAATCACTGGAGTCCAGCTAACTTAGAGTGTTTTTTTAGAAGTATTGCCTTCTGGCTTCTGAGTAGATAGAATCATAAGTAATACAATGATTCTGTCCCCTAGCACTCTCAACAATGGACAGACATAGACTATAATAGGCATGGAGAGACACCCAAGCAAACTCAATATCATAGGCCTTGCTCCAAAACTAGTTATAGAGACGCAACTCTAAGTGAGGTACCGCTAAAAAGATATTGCTGTTGTATTTACCAGTACAATCACTGCCATACCAGTATAAAGGGGGCTATAGAAAAATCAAACAATTTTCACTACCTAAATATCTTTTAGCAAATAATACTTATAAGCAGGGACCTGGGTTTTCCATTTCCCATGGGGAAAATGGAGAAAAACACAGATTTTCCCCTTTACTGGCACAAACTGTGGATTTCTTATTTTAGCAGAGAAACCCACAGATTTTGCAGTTTTGCAAAGAGCTCTCTGCAGGCTGGCAGAGTTCCAACCTGCAAAGAGGCTGGGAGGAAGCAGGAGGAGGGCAGCCAGGGAGGGGGTGCCATGTGCATGTATATGCATATGGCCCCAGGCAGCCTGGAGAGCAGCTTCCCCAGGTAAACGGAGGCGGGGAATTGAGGCTCCCATAGGGAGGGAGGGAGTTGGGTAGGGCTGGGGCTGAGGCTGGTGCCCATCCTGGCAATGCATGGAGCTTAGGGCTGAAATGCACAGCCACAGGGCACAGGCAGGGAGTGGGGCATGGCTGCAGGTGGATAATTGAGGGGGGGGGGAGGCAGTTCTCTGCTGCTGCACACACTCCCAGAAGCACAAGGAGGACCCGTGCCCCACAGATCTGTGCATGGGTGCAGGGGTGGGGCAGGCTGCCCGCTGCGGGCTTGGGCTCCCTGCCCTGCTGCCCTCCGCGGCCTGGTGGGTGGGACCCGGCACTACAGGGCAGAGAGGGGCCATGCAGGAAAGCTGCTTGCTGCTGTGAGCTCTGCACTGCCCTGGCAACACATCCCCTGCCCATGTGGCAGCAGCAGGGGTGGTGGCATGGGGTTGTGCCCCCCACTGGTGCTACTCGCACAGGGGATGCATTGCCAGAGCAATGCGGAGCTTGCGGAAACAAGCAGCTTTCCTGTGCAGCTCCCCTGTTCTCTTCCAGACCAGGTTGCACCTGCCGGGATGCAGAGGCCCTGGAGGAGGGCAGCAGGGTAGGGAGCCCGAGCCCACAGCATGCACCCACCCATGCCCCATGCACAGATCTGGGGCCATGGGTCCCCCTGACCACGGAGGGGTGTGCGCTGCAGCAGGGAGCCGGCTCCATCCCCTGCCCAAGCAGGCAGCAGGGAGGGAGCCAGGCTTTGCTCTGCTGCAGCCAGCTGCCTTCTGTCAGGGACAGGGGGCTGCGAACCCAAGTCCCTGGCCCTGTAGCCTTGGCAGCTGGAGGCCCCCCTTCCAGCAGGCCTGGGGATGCAGAGGCCTGGGCGGGGGTGGTGAGAGGCATGAGCAGGGCTGGAGAGGCTATGGGGAGGGAGTAAGGGGCATGAGCAGGGCCAAGGGGCTGTGGGGCAGGGAGTGAGGGGCACCAGTAGGGCTGGGAGGCTGAGTGGGGGGGCAGGAGTGAGGGTCATGAGCAGTGCCAGGGCTGTGGGGTGGGGAGTGAGGGACACAAGTAGAGCTAGGGCAGCTGTGGAGGGGATTGGGAGGCATGAGCAGGGCTGGGGTGGGGAGTGAGGGGCACAAGCAGGGCCAGGGGGTTGTGGGAGGGTGGGAGGCGGGGACAGGAGTGAATGGTCTTTCATTTTAATTATGGACTTGGGGAGTTTTAATCGGATAATTTGCGATTTTTTAGCAGGGAAAACCAGGATCCCTGCTTATAAGGCATAAACCAAAAGTAGATTATAAAAAGATTATTAGAAATGATGCTTATAATATGTGAATCTTTACTGATACACTCAGGTCCCATCTACATGTTACACTTGCAGAGTGATTAACTTAAGAAGTTAATCACTTCTTAAGTTGTGACCTAGCCATACATTCAACTAATTAATGATGTAATAAAAGAAGGAAGAAGCCACCAAGTTATTCCACAAAAAACATACAATAACTTTCTGGCTCATCCTTACCATACCATTAATTGAAAGTGTGGCCATGTGATCCCCTGATGCTGGGAGCCTCATCAGCTGACAGCGTGCACCATATACCCACACAGATGAGGGGCCTGCTGCGTAAGATCCTGCCATGGCTGTGAGCCTTGTCAGCTGTAGGGCTTGCAGTCATGGGAGCTTTCTACTTGCTGGTGCAGGGGGAGCCTGGGATCTTGATCCCAGGCTCCCCACTGCACTGGCAATAAGGTATGATTGGAGCTATTCCTCAGTCTCACAATCACACCTCCTGCCATGCATGTGTGGCACATGGCAGGAGGCATAATTGTGTGGATCATGCATCACGCCTTCGCCTGGATGGCTAGAGGGGCCTTTAAAGTTAAATACAAAATTGAAAATAGTTTTATATGGTTTTATATCCATAACTCCATCCATTCCTTTAAAAATTACAGAAACAGATGCTAAACTGCTAAACAAAAACACAACCTTAGTTTCTGTCCCATAAAAAGAATCTAGGTAAATTCTCATTGCTTACATAATTTTCATCTTTTACTAATCCTTTATTAAGCTAGTTAAGTTTATCCAGCCAAATGGATAAAAATCAACTTCTCCAGTAACTTTATTAAAAAGGTGGGAAAAGTTTTTTAGATTGCTTCATCATATTCTTTCTAGAATCTGAAACATAGCTTTTCAGCTGACTTCCAAACTATCTTATATCACACTTGAAGAGAGAGAGAGGCTGCAACTAGGTTTAGACAGACTACAAAAGTGGGCAGATGAGAATAGGATGGAGTTCAACGTAGACAAATGCAAGGTGCTGCACCTTGGGAGAAGGAATCCACAGCATACATACAGGCTGGGGAGTTCCCCTCTTGAAAGCACAGAGGCAGAAAGGGATCTTGGAGTCATTATTGACTACAAGATGAACATGAGCTGCCAATGCCAGACGGCAGCCAGCAAGGCCAGCCATACCTTG